AATAATAATAATAATAATAATAATAATAATAATAATAATAATAATAATAATAATAATAATAATAGTAGTAGTAGTAGTAGTAGTATTAGTAATAATAATAATAATCACAAACTAATAACCCAAGAAAATAATACTATGCTTAAAAATCAACAATAGGGTACCTTGTGGCAATGATTGCATTGTCTGAAATATGAAATGAAGATTTTAGATTTGAGCTTAAGAAACAATATTATACACTATAGTTTTTAGTAAAGCATCAACTACAATGAGGAAAAACTATATGATATAATTTTTTCTATTCTTAAATAGTAAAAGGTGAACTAATAAGCATCCCAATTATGTCTATGTACAAAAAATAAAAACATTTCTATAATTAAGTCATTAAATATTGAAGTTTCAAATCTTTTTAGAAGATATACTATGAGGTTATATAGGCTCAACGGTAGCATTTACAACAATCAAGTATAAGAAATAATGTCCTCTTGAAATTTTTTATAAATCAGAAACAATGATTGATAGTCCAGTCATGATTATAGATGTTTCTATAAAGAGAAAATCTAATGTAATACTAATATTTATTGCAAAATTTCTTAAGCGGATCTCTTAATGGACAGTCGGGATATGAAAGCTCCAGAAGCAGATCTAGTGTATCATCGGCTCCTGAAAAACAGATTAGTGAAGCTCAAGAATATGACTAGAGTTTTAAATATTATATCTCATTGTACTGAAAAAAAAATAAAAACTATGACAAAATTAAAACAACTATCATATTATTTAAAGTATGCCATAAAGAGAAGATTTTAGCAATTTGTGAGTTTTTAGGCATTTCAATTGACAATATTAGTTGGGGGGTTGATGTGATTTTGTAATGAGAATCAATGCCAACAAATATTCAAACTTGGGTCAAGAACTAGCTAGCTTAAGAAAGAGTGGGTAAATTCTGTTTTAATGACTAACTTATGATTATGCTATTTGATTTAAGAGGAACATATAGTTCTTAATATAATGTTGCCAATTAGAGAAAAGATATAAACATTTGCATGTGTTCACGAAATGCTCATCCATGAAAGAAAAGTATTTGCATCCTTATTAATCATGTTACCATTGGATTAATTTGATATCATTTTTAGATTATCAATCATGTTTTAATAAAATGCCAAGCGAAGAGGGCTAAGTTTAGAAGTCTCAAATGAACTATTTTATAGTCTCTATGAAGAGAAACTCTTTTTTTTTTTTTAATCCTCTACTAATAAGGTAAGAGAGCTTATAATAGAAGGAAGTTTTGCCTATCTAGTGCAATGAATTAGCATAGCTGATCAATATGTGGGGTTAATTTAGAAATGTGCTTATGTATGAAACTATTTAGATGTGTTTCTTGTTTACTAGAACCATATAATGGATATGACAAAATTATAGAAGTTGAGACTTAAATACAAGCCTAGCAAAAAAACAATCTATTTAGCCAAATGTCTCTTTTTAAGTGCTTAGATATTGTTTATTAAGAAGAAGAATGGAGATATTTTTGATCAATTAAAGGGAATAATTCTATTCTCCATAATTGGTCAAAATGGATTATTGGCAACTCAATTTCAAGAGCTAAGATACCACGAACATAGCATTTAAAAAAAGAAATAGTCATTATGAGCTATGTTTATGCTTTTTTATACTAATAAATGCTTCAACAACATTTATGAATTTGATTAATAATATATTTCAATATTTATTGAATCGTTTTAATATAATATTTATTAATGATATTCTTGCATGTTCCCTAAGACTAGGCTTAACATGGAAAACACTTGCAAGAAAATTGGTAGAAGCATAAATTATATAT